CACCGTTATGAGCAACACCTGTGTTTTGTTCTTATGTCCCTGCATAGCATGTTTAGTGCAGCAATGAGGATGGATTGAGTCATCCATCCATCTTCAAAACACTCATCCTTCATGCAGGGTCGCAGGAGTCAATCCCAGCTAACTAACAGGCGAGAGACGGTGTACACCTTGGATTGATCACCAGCCCATCGCAGGGCTAACACAGAGTCAGACAACCATTCACACTCACATCCACACACGTACGTGGCAATATAGAGTCACCAATTTAGCTAATCCCCAACGCATGTCTTTGGACTGTTGGAGGAAGCCGGAGTACCCGGAGAGAACCCACGCAGACACCGAGACGATCCCGGGACCTTCTTGCTGTGAGCCAACAGTGCTAACCACCACACCACCGTGCTGCCCCTCCAACCAAGTCAGAAGACCGAAATTACACCAAGAAGTTGGTGTTTGTTGTTATCTTAACATCATCATGAACTTTAATCTAGTAGTATTACAATGTCCTTCTAAAACATACACAACATATGAACATACTTCATCCAATGTTACATCCATATTCACACACAATTCTTTTGTTACATTTAGGAATGTTGTGATAGTCGGACAAAAGACTCCATTCAAAGGAAGATAATAAATTGATGTACAAATTTTAAAAGTTGGCCTAAGACAAAATAGGCAATAGTCAATGCTACATACAAAAAAGGCATACAGAAAAGAACTATAAGAATAATGGAAAAAAAGAAACAGGGCTGAGGTGAATGATTGGAGATAAACTATAGTCAGTCACAGTCTTCTAAGAAGACAATCTTCCAAATAGGTGATGCACAGTGAGAGGCATGTCTGATAAGCTAACTGCACACTGCGCAGGAACAATAGCAACCTTTAAAAATGGGATAATGAACACAAGATGAAACAGGATTTGAAAAATAACGTACAATAACTTAAATATGTCATTTTTTCATGGAATTGCTTGACAAACCAAATATATTTTGATATAACGGAGCTAACCTTTTTCAAAGAATGCCAGCTATGGAGTTGTCTTTATATTATGTATTTAAAATGAGATTGTATAGTCAACCAGTAATCTATGAATTTAGCTGTATGGTCTCAAAAAAACAAAATAATTGTCAACACAGCATAATGGATATGATTAAACATGTATTATGTAGCTTAATGGGAGCTGCTGTAATGTATAAAAATGTTGTATTTTATTCATATTACAATATTTTAAGTAAATGCCTTGCGGAATATCAAGTGTCCTGATCCAGATTGTCAGGCAGAGATGGGGGACTTTACAGGGAAAGCCCACCTGGCTGAATGAATATAGCCACTGTTGTCTGGGTTTAGAAGAGTCAGTAGGCTGTGAGGCTTTGAGGCTGCCGTATAATACAGCAGCTGTCAGCATTGACATGTCTCAGAAACACACACCTCTAATCTCGACCCCCCCCGCACCCCCCCCCCCCCCCCCCCCCTTATTCTCCCACTCAACCATTACACAGAAAGAAATGACACCCTGCGCAAATATTAAACATCTTCCAAGGCCTACTCCATTATCTTCTTTTCTCCAACACTGTTTTAACCCCCCACCCCCTCTCTCTTTCTCTCTCCCTCTCCCTATATCTCTCTCCCATCTTGTCTCGTCCTTGTCTCCTCAGAAGCCCTGGCAGCCGGATCATCTCTGTCTGTTAGTGTCAATTAAAAGTGAAATATCTGCATTTGTCAACATATCATTTGTGCTGGGCCCGTGATGCACTGCTGATTTGTCGGCCAATTCCTGACACCGGGGAGCGAATGCCGAGGCGGCGGTTTCCCTCATTAGACCTGGAGCTGGCACTATGATGGCTGACACCGCTGGGAGGCTTCGCTCCCTGCCGACAAGATACTAACCCACGAACAGGCCTCGTCTGTCAGTCCTGTCACTTGCCAGCCAGCCATCCAGACAAGGAGAGCGAGGGGCAGATGGGTGGAGGAGGAGGTGCACTGGGATGGGAGGGGATCCGGGTGCACCATGAACCCCCCTCTGAGGGCCAGGGCGCGAGTCTATGATCAAGTTTATTTGGATAGGAAAATGTCAGCATGTATCCTGGTGTCAGAAGCGACGCGGTTGACGTGTTACAGTGGTGACAGGAGTCCGTGAGTTGATCGGATTTTTAAACTTGGGTTACAGCATGCGTTCACAATCAAACAGAGCCTAACCTCAATGAAACAATGTAGAGAAATAAGGAAATTTAATAAAGGATGAAAACAAACACATGTTTACCACATTTAAAGGTTAGAAAATTTGACTAACTAACACCATAAAGAAATATAGTATGTCAATTAAACTTTGACCGTTTGTTTAAGAGTAGAAATCAGGGCTAAAAGGTATCCAGTGACATTACTGAAGGGAACCTTTACGGAGATAATGTTGAGGTTATTCTTAGTGAAATACTTGATTGATACATAATTTTTGCAGTAACTCTGAACGGTTATGAACAGATCTTGACCAAAAACCAAGTAACTGGTTGAGCAGTCCAGGAAACACACCGACCAATCACAGAAATTGTAAATCACGTGATGCTACTCAGCCAATCATATTTCTGTGTTTTGATAAGCCTTGGAGAAGTGAGAAGTATGTTACTTAGAGAAGTTATTTCACATAAAATATAAAAATGGACAGACGGGAGAACCTTTAGCGAAGCGTGGACGAACTCTAGGAGTGTGTAGTCTTCTTACAGGCAGTTGAAAACATGTACGTCTCATTATAAATTTATTTATTTTGCAGGGATAATGTCCACCAATCAACAGTTGTAAGTGAGCCACAGTTAGCCAGAAAGGCTAATTTCCATTTCCATCAAGAAATTAAACTAGAATTCATAGACAAACGGACAATGTTTAGACAAAACCAATGCACAGCGTAAGAAAAGGAAAGTGTTAGACAATAGACTAGCACATGTGCAGTACAACACTGAGGCACATAACATACAGAGAGAAAACAGCACCACCGAGCAAGACAAATGCAGATAAAGATGAAACAAGCAGGCAGGACATACAGCAATTGATGCTTGCACACCTGATTGGCAACAAGCCAATCCTGAAGGTTGTTCTCAACTTTAAGATTGAGACAAGAATAAGAACAGCAGCAAAGTGCATCAAGAGACATGAGTCGGCCACTGAAGGAGCTACACCGTGCTCATACTGTGTCCTGCAATGGGTGGGAGGGGTTTTCCATCAGGGACAATAGCGTAGCCATCTTTCTCCTCTCTACCACCTCCACTAGATCTAGTGGTCATCCAGGTACTTGTAAGATCCGAAAAGTAACACAACTGAAACGAGTAGTGATAGAGTCTCAATACACAGATGTATGAGATGAATATAAAATCTTGGCTTGTTTTATTGACTTCACTTGAAACCTGAATCAACAGCTTTTTGGTAATTCATTTCAATGTATTTATACTTCACTTGACACGTGTATTTATTAATATTGCATGTATTATTTATGATTCAGTTCAATTAAAAAAATGGCAATGCACATTGTTGGGATATTATTCAATTAAATGTTCTTAATTTCATTTGATAGTCAGTTGTTAACTACATCCATCCATCTGCAAACCACTTATCCTGCACACAGGGTCGCGGGGGGGCTGGAGTCTAGCCCAGCCAACTTCAGGCGATAGACAGGGTACACCCTGGACTGGTCGCCAGCCAATCGCATAGCTACACAGAGACATACAACCATTCACACTCACATTCACACACCTACAGGCAATTTAGAGTTACCAATTAACTTGATCCCCAGAGCATGTCTTTGGACTTTGGGAGGAAGCCAGAGAACCCGGAGAGAACCCATGCACACACGGGGAGAACATGCAGACTCCACACAGAAAGTCGAACCCGAACCCTTGCTGTGAGGCGTAAGTGCTATTAAAAAATGTAAAAGAACATTGCACTCGATATCTCATATTCCTGAATTCTGTTACACATATAGAGGCTTTTTAAACTGACTGTCAATATCCTCTAAAACAAATGTCTATGTGTATGTTAGATATAAATCTAAACGTTGAATACAAATCAAAATTTTAAATGTAAATCCAAACGTTAAATGTAAATATAAATGTTGAATCTAAATGTAAATGTTAAATTTAAATCTAAATGGTAAATGTTAAATGTAAATTTAACATTTAGATCTATATTTAACATTTAGATTTAGATTTCTATTAAATATTTATATTTACATTTAACTTTTTTATTTTTTAACAACTTTGTGTTACTGCCAAACATTATCTTTGGAAAAGTTATTGCATGAATTTACATGAATTTCTCTCTTAATGTTTGAAAAAGTGACATTTGAATATTGTCGTGCTTTTTTGTTCATATGATAATGCTAAATGTAGCAAAACTGCGCAGGATTTTAGAAGGTGCAACATTTTACAAACGGCGCCCCATACTCTACTCCGTGCCACCGTCGCCCAAACTAGTGTCTTTTCCTGCTGTCCTCGTGCACTTTGCTCTCAACTTCATTTGATGGTTATGTTTGAAGTGCCAACTTCAAAATCTTCTGTCATTTATCCAGGATGTTTTTTCAAAACACTGTCTTTTAGGGACACAGCGGTGGTCCCCTGCAGACTGTGTGCTATGCAGGGTAAATGTTGAGATAGAAGTAGCCTAGCAGCTAGCTTAGCCTAGCAGTGTGTGAAGTGTCTCTTTTGCTACTCACCCTCCTTCTGTTTTGCACGTGGAAGAATTGCTCTGCACAATTCTCCACTGTGTGCCGTGCCTCTGTTTGTTTTAATCCTAATGCAAACGGATCCCAATCTTCAACTACCGTGTCGGCCTCTCCGATCTAACTGTCAGCAGCACGCAGCGGTTTCGAGGTCCAGGGGTCAACGCACACCAGAAATAATCTTTAACTCTTAAAGCAGTGGCCACTATCTTTTTAAGACCAAAATCCCTGACTTCTGCCTTGGTGACAGGCAAGATCTACCTATTGAGGTGTTGAAAAGAAAACTGTCCAGACTGTATTTACAACTTGAGGCTTTTTATTTGGCCTAATGGAATCAGATCAAACACTTTGGTAAAAGCTTTCCAATTGTGTGACAAAGAACCCACTAAATCACTTAATTTCAGTGCAACATATAAAGGAGATGATTTGTTAACCGTATACAATATGACAAGAAAAAACTAATGTGCTATGAGCATGCCGGATGAACTACCAATATTAACTGTTGTATTTTTCAACTACACAACAATAATGTAATTAAAGTTCAGTTTAGCTTTGTGTCCCATCAGAATGCCATCAGAAGTCATGTGACTCCAGTCATGGGATGGCTGTGACTGATCACTGTCCGTGATGGAGGGGTAGAGAGGGTGCTCTGGGAACCGGTCTGTGAGCTGTCTGTCAGTAAGCCGGCTACTTTGATTTGGTGATTTTCATCTGTGAAAATATCATTTGACACAGGGAAGTTGAACCAAAGTAGGCACTCACTTTTAGTGCACATGCGCTGAGGAGAGGACATTTCTGTCTGCTGACAACTCCCTAAAGTTCCTGTCCCTTGACCTGGCTTTCAGCTCTGTGTCATCTTGCATATCAAACATCTCCATGTCCACTCCACCTGGCAAAGCAAATGCTTTCTGGAATTTTGCTGCAACCTCCTCTGTATCAATATGCAGGAATGGTTTTGAAACATTGGTGATTACGTTCACATAAAATCAGACAGATTTAAATAATTATAGTAATAAATATGGTCATTTTTGAATCTTTAACAATTACGTTTCACATTTATAGTCATGATTTTACGAGGCCATCGTGATATCAAAAGGACTAAACAATCACTGCAAATGTAAGTAATAAATAAAAAAGCACTAAACTCAATTGCGTGGATATGTCCACAGTGGATTAGAAAGGACACATCTACATTCTGTAGCAGCATCTGCGCCGGGGAGGTTAGGCCTCGGTTTACTCGACCCGGTGCTCCCTTTCTGCTTTTTCGTGATTTTCATTAGTCTCAAGCTGCTTTTGCGTCATATGGAGTCTGTCGAAGTCCCTACAATCGCATGCCCTTATAGGAGCTGGCACGCCGTTTCTGTTTGGAATACAGACGCACGAAACACGCGTTCAATTTAGGAATCCTCATTTGGGGAAGCACAGCTGACGCTTTGGCTGTGTAAGAACCCATTTGCGTCGGTTCATGAATCAGGCGGAGATCTTTTCTGACGTTGGTCTTCGTCAGAAAGTCCGTAAGAAAACATTTCAGAAGACACTTCAGAAAATGTTTGAGAATGAGGCCCAATGTGTTCATGAATTATCTTTATTTTGTTTTGGAGATCGACAGGGATCGTGTTTGACGGGCCACCACTGACTTAAATGGTGTTTAAGTATAAAAGTTGTTAAGTATTTGTGAGGATGGATATGAGTCACGTGGGATGTGCTTAGCCTAGCTTAGCATAAAGACTGGTAGCAGGGGGAACAGCTTCCACGGCTCTTTGTGGCTATAAACACCTGTTAACCTGCATTGTTTCTTATTTTCTTAATCTGTACAAAGAAAAATGGGCAACTGGTTGTTTTACGGGGAGTTGTGTGTTGGAACTATTTAATGGTGAATACTATCCATCCTTCACCAACGTGAGTGCAACCACTTCTCTGTCCCAACGCATCAAATACCATCAGTTACGCATCGCCCCTCTATATTGGAATTTGATGCAAAAATCCCCCTCTTTGCAGCCTTATGCAGAAGACTTGCGAAACAAACTTCAATGTAAACTCTATCTGCAACATTAGTGAACAAACAAGCATTTTACGTTACATAAAGTGTGTGATAGTCTACTTAGGCCAACTGGAAGTGTAGTCAAATAAAAACAAGACAAATGCCTATGAGACTGCCTTGACATGACTCATGACAAACATGTTAGTAGTGACTCATGTGATTCCTTACTAACCTGAGTCTATTAACGTGAGTAACTTGTGTCTTACTTGCCCAAAAACTCGAGTCATTAGTTAGCCTAAAAATGATCTCTGTACAACCGTGTAATGATATGGTGACTTGATATGTTACAATACTAATGATAGAGAGATACACTGTGCACATTTTTGAAAAATGGAAATGTTACATTCAATATTATAGTTGGTTCAACACAGCATTTAGGAGTCTGTTTCTCCTGCTTCAACTATTTACACTAAGACAGACTAACCACATCCTGCCTACCCTTCTTCTTTGCTTTATTGACTTCTTAGGAATCTCTTAGAAAAAAGAAAAGAAGTTTCAAAAAGAATCTTAACATGTGTTCACAAATACTGATAACACCTGAGACCATACCGCAGATTCCTGCAACTAAATATAGTTCCCCTTGACAATATTGGAAAAAAAGGAAAAAACTGTGGCATAGAAATCATGCAGCACATTATATGCAACACAATAATTCAGATAAGAACCCACAGCATAATTACACAGTATTAAAAAGGAACGCATTGGGTTGCATATACAGTGCACATGACAGTATAATATAATACATCACATATTGAGAAAACAGTGTTTGACTGTTGTGATTTTGGGGCTTTACATAATAAAATGAAACTCATTGAATTGACTCCTGGCTGCAGTGATGCCCTGTTAGCTCACAGACTGCAGTAGCCCAAATAAAGAGAATCAACTCGTAACAAAGTCAATGAAACCTGCAGATACATGTCAATGAGTATTTAAGAGAACACAGGCCATGAGCTTTGAATCAAAAATGTATTCCTTCTTCAGCCGATTTTTGTAATTGCTGTTTCCCCTTTGAAAAGAAAAAAAACGTGCATAACGTACATAACGTTCCGTACATAACTGTCGGAAAAGTGAAGGTCACCCATGGCGGCAAATCCCTGTCATAATTCGAAAGCGCAAATCAGGTTGATGAGTGCGCGTAAATCAAACGTGCGCGAACAAAAGTCTGTCTCGCGCGAGATATTTGCTCGCTCGCGGAACGTGAACTTCCTTGCTTGCGAGGCTAATAACCAGTCACTATGGTATCTCGAGATATGAATTCACAGAACTATAGAAGCCCATTTCCTCCTATGGAGGAGCCTGCGCATATCTTATCTCATTATTTCAATATTTCCAAATCGATCCGTATTGAAAGTTGGCAAGAAATTCACAATTTCGGACTTCATTTACCGGTCGGCGAGCTGGACGCATCGGTCTTAATGTGCGGTCGAAGTGCCGGTAATGATGGTAAATGATGTATCTGGTTGTCATCTACGGTCCACTACGGTTGAAAAAAGGTGTCGTTTGTGTTTTGACGTTTTATCTCATAATTTTGACTTTCTATCCCCTTTCTTTAGTGCGGAAGGGGCTTCTATAGTTCTGTGAATGCATTACTCCAGCTAATCCAAAAACAGGGTTTGTATCTAATTAGATGTAGATACCATGGTGACTGGCTCCGCCCCCTTACTATCAAAAAAAATAACAGCGAGCGCACAGAAAACACCTTCGAACAGGGTTTGCCATAGTCAGCCTATTATGGCAGAAGAGAGTCATACAGGACTAGCATTACTCTATTCCTCTAGACATAGTCAGGATTTAAATCTATCTCCTAAACGTATTACTATAAAACAGACATCGCCTTGTATGTGTAATCTGATACTACTACAAGGAACGTGTTGGTGGTCAATACTCAGCCCTTATAGTATTATGCAATTAATACTCCATTTTTTTCTTCTACCTCTACATATCCTTCATCCTCCGGCCATGAAAATCAGTATCAGCAGTGGAATCGGTGAAGGAAGTTTTCAATCTTTTGCTTTGCTGAATTTTAAATAATGAAGAGCTTGCTCTTAGTTTACCAACGGTAGGGTGTTAGAAAGTTTCAGCCTGTGTGAAAACATTCCATTACCGAGTAATCAAGAGACTGTCTCTCTCAGCCTCTGGTCTTCACCTGTCCATACATCAGACATTGAGGTCAGTAGTTTTCCCATGGGGAGGATCAATCATTGACATATCATCCATTGCTTCTTTGTGGGTCAGGAAGGCCATCAGCGTGACACTGCAGAGCACAAGTTTTCTCTGCCCTTTACATGGATACATCCACAGGATGTAAGGCAGTGAGGCAGGACTCAGATCAGCCTCTCCTCTGGGGGCACTTTGAGGACACTACCCATCTCCAGCCTGGCACCAGCCACCTCCTGAGAACTGGGGCTATAGGTTCCTTCTGACTGACGCTTCTTCCGTGCTGTAATGACGAGGCAAAACACCACCAGTATGGCCAGTAACACACACAGGGTGGTTAGAGGGATGGTCACCACCAGCCAGGGGACTCGCTCCTTATGCTCCTCTTTCTGCAAGAGGACAGGACAGAATGTTCTGATACCATTCCTTCTTCGCTACCATGTCTAATTTGGCACTGCCTAGAATATGTTCACAGCTAATGTGTTTCTCAGTGGCTAATAAATAATGTATTTTCATTTTTAAAAGAGAAATTTGAGGAAACATAATAGTTGGTTTGCCTATTTCTTTACCTTGCATCATGACAGTTGTATTGTCGGAAGAGAATCAGGATATTTCAAGGTGCTCTCATTCTGACCTGATTATCAATAGACGGTATCAATGATGTTCTGGGTGGTTTTAATCACATCCACTCCTGCGCCGTGCAGATCCCATTCATCATGTTTGCAGTAAGTAACCTTTATTTCTCTTTTCTAAAAGTTTACAAGAACTTGGTACGAAATGTTGTGTTCTTTATCTTACTCTGTCTTAACAGTCTTATCTGTTTATCATGTTTTAATTTTTGCCTGTATATTCGTATCTTATTTTTCTTGATCCTTTTTTATTCTATTTCATCCTTATATTGCACCAATTCACCAAGTCCATTTCCTCTATGTGTAACATATTTGGTAATAAATGGCTTCTGATTTTCATTTGGATTCTGATTATTTGTGGTAAACAACTTCACCTCACTCTAACAGGACTTTTGCTACTGAACAGGGACTATTATTCATGCTATTTATGCTGCTTATCCTGATACAAGACAAATGTCTCTTCTGGTACTTACTATAAACTATACTATAAATTAACCTAATTTATTTGTCAGTTATATTGTTCCAATAATATTACTTTGAAATAAAAATGTGTAATACACTAGTTTTTAATTCATTACAAAATTTAGCGGATAATGCATAATGCATACTGTATATACATAGTTATTATTATGTGTTGAAAGTATTCGTTGTTAACAAAAAAAGTATTTTATAAATTAACAGGTATTCTTACTTTCACTTTTTCCTATAGAAAGCTTTTTTATTATTATTTTTTATTTTCATGTATGTATGCTAATTTAACAATCCTGAAATGATACCAATTTGAAGAGGTTTTTACTGGACTGGGTCAATTGTGTATTTTATTACTGGATAGTAATTCTGTTTTGCTGGGCCGTGTAATTCAAACTGAGCTATGTGAAGTGCACATGTGTGTTGTTTCCTAGCAATGCTCCTGTGGCAGTTTCTTGAATCCTAAATCAATTTCTCAGGTTCTAATTCATCATGTAAGTCATAAAAGTGAATCAACTCGAAGTCAGTCGATGTTAAGCTGGGTCCGTCACTTACGATTCTCTCACACAATGTCCCGCTGAAACCCAGGACACACACACACTGGAAGTGGTTGAGTCTGTCCAGACAGGTGGCCCCATTCAGACAAGGGCTGGACTCACACTCGTCTATTTCTGTCTCACACCTGAAACACATCAGAAGGGTTTTAACGCAATGCTGACTGACAGAGGAGCAGCTCGCACACACACATACACACACAGTCATGACCTTTGTACATGGATGTGGTTCAGACACACTTTTCCCTGAGCGGAAGGTATGTGTGAGGAGTGTGCAGTGTGCTTCTCTCACCTGGGACCAGTGTAACCATGTTTACAGGTGCAGTTGCCTCCAGAGTCACTTCCTATGCAGACCCCTCCGTTAAGACAATCTGTGTTTGCATCGCACGCCGCTGGAGGAAAACGCCATCTATTGAAACAGACACACATATATTTAATACACTGTGATGTAGGATTTGGTAGTGATACATGGAGGTGACCTTAGTGTTGGCACAAACAGTGCTCCTAATGCCTGCAGAACGGACGAGCTAGCAGCGCTAACTTAGCATGGAATGGGAAGGTGTGTGCTTCAGATCAACTTTAAAAGTAGATGGCATTTCCATAAAAATGCATTTAGGTGGACCACTTGGAACCCAACTGAAACCTTTCTCGGTAGTGTGAAGGGAGAACTATCTCCATGCCCAAGAGCGTAACCACGGTGTCCGCGCCCCCCCCGTCCGCCGTAGCGTCCAGCGCCCCCCCCCCCCTGATTGAAGAGTTCCTCACTCACAGGTCCACACAACTGAAAGGGTCTTCAACAAAGGATGTTGAGGACAATGCTTGTCATTTGACAACAGTATGTTATATGGTTATTCTATTAAATATAAGCAAGGGAAGTCTTTACTCACTGACAGCGTTTGCCAACGTAGCCGGTAGGACAAGAACATGTGTGAACTCCCACATTGAGCGTGCAGGTTCCTCCATTCACACAGCTGAACTCCAAACAGTTATCCACCTCGTCCCGACAGTCTTTCCCTGTGTATCCAGGCTCACAGTCACACTGGTAGTGTGCTAGAAGGTCTTTACATGTACCGTGGACACAGGGACCTGAAGAACACTCATTTACCTCCCTCTCACACAGCTCCCCCTCCCATCCGGCGCTGCAGGTGCAGTTAAACTCATTAAACTGATCCTGGCATACACCCTGATTCAAGCAGGGCTGGGAATCACAAATCGGTGGACCTTGGCATCCTTGCATTGGTTCATACCCACCCAATCTGGAAAACTGGCTGACCTGAGGGGCTTCTGGAACATTTACTAGTGGCAGGTAGACTCCACCCACTCTCACCTCCCCTAAACATCCAGTGTATTTCTCAGCCAGCCAGATTTTGGTGTCATTGAGGAAGTTAAGGTTGCCTCCAATGCGAAAGCTGCCACCAACTCTCTGCCTGTCAACTGTGAGACGCCAGCGGGACGCTAACTGCGTGGGATCCACCATGGCCACTTCGATTCGATGCCACGCGCCATCTGCAATGGTCCTATCACTTGTGAAGGCCAGTAGCTCCTGACTCGCCCCGCCGTCCAGCTTGACCAGCAGGGAGGAGTTGAGCAGACCCAGGCAGAACACCTTTGCTCCGCTGACGGCCCGCAGCAAGATCCCGTTTTCGTCCCGCGTCCGAATATCCATGGTGACGTTGGTTATGGGGCTCAGCAGGGAGCTGTTGGCAACATACTGAAGGGCGTTGTCCTGAAAGATGGATTCAGTTAAACCTGTGTAATGAGAAGATGATGAGTAAGTATGTTACTGAAACCAAGGCCTGTGTACAAGTTACATGTTAATTCAAAACTTATTTTAAGACTCTATTGTATATGTTACAAGATTGATGAACTGATTGCCAAACCACATATTGATCCTCCATCCCTTGAAGTGGTCATTGAAGTACGTTTCAGGTGTGTAACCATTGTTGAGCTTATCTTAGTTGCTTTGAACAGTTTATAATTGTTCAGCAAAGTCCTCAATCTTTCGAGAAGAAGGCCGCATATCAAAACCAACTTTATTGGAAAAAGTCAAGTATGTTCCTTTTACATTATGAAGTAAATGATGATTGCACAATGCAATGGCGGTAGGATAATGACACCTTCTGTGTTAGGATTGGTTTCAGTTTCACTTTAGTAAACCAAATGTTGACAACTGTTTTCCAATGAGCACTAACTACAAAAGTAACTAGTAGCCAGCAGATGAAATCATCAAGTGGTTTGCTACATTACCAAACATCACTTGCATGATGCTGGTGTTAGCACTGTGGCAGAGAGGGAGACAGGCGAGAGAAGTAGTTTCTCTATATTGTACTCACAGCTCAAAGATGTATCTGCCAGTTGTCGACCCCAGCTAATGGAGCAGGATCATATGACATTCAGTAGCAGCTGTGTTTATAATTCACTTGTGCTTCTCACAAGGCTGTAAAACTCTGACATCATAACCCTGATGTATCAGAGATCAGTACAAACTCTACGAGTGTAAGGTTTGAAAAACATAATGAACCATAAAAATAAGGAACATGTGTGTACTCTAACAATGTGATTCAGGTTGTGGATGATTTGAATGTTGAAATACAGGGAGTGCAAGGGAGGAGACAGACCAGACACTCATGGTCTATTTAACGTTTTGTTCTCAAAGTTCAATTTGTGCTGCATTTCTTGTATAAAAGGTGATGATTAAATCATCATTATTATTGATTGTTTTATTTCTGCTACTTTGTTGTTTTGGATAATATGTACTCTGTCAAAGCTTTACTTACACTCATAACCATCCTGTAAGTCGACACAACGCACTGCGTCAGGACAAGGGTTGTCCATGCACCACAGACGGGTCTCGCACAGTCGGCCATCGTATCTCATGGAGCAGTTGCACTGGAAGTCGTTCCAGGTAACCTGACACTGTCCACCATTTAAACACGGCTGATCCTGTACACAGACAAACACAGATGAATGGATTAAGTGATCATATGTAAAGTCTCGTAAAGCAACAGCAGTGGTCCAATAGTAATCATAGGGTTCAGGCTATATAGTGTGGTCCATCTATCATACAGTGCTCCAAGGTGCTGACACAATATTAAGCACATGGTAAGCAGTGTTTACATTTAATTTTTCAAAAACTATTAGTTTGAATTAATGTTGGTATAGACCCAGAAAAGGAACTTTCAACTGTACATTCTCATTTGCCTGAGCTACACTGCTACGAAAATGCTAGCATAACATATCAACAGGAATGGTATATTGTCATGCTAGCTTCAGTGTGCTTTTTTTTAAAAACTACTTACAACTGAGCCTTAAGACATGCAGCACTATCGAGCAAAACATTGATTCATTCAAATGAAGTGAAACCTTTCTGTACATTTCCATAATAACCCGACATTTGATAGAATCAGTCTCACATTGTGCATTACAGAATCACTGTTAGCATAGCTAAATACATGTAATGATACAACGATCACTTCTACAAGGTCAATGGGAAAGACATGGTTTTTTTCTAATGCAACAAATCAGGGGATTCCACATAAGTTGCCTTAAAATTGATTCACATTTTGTTTTTGATGACTGTGGCACCCTTCAAATAAAATGGAATTGTTTCAAGGTTTACAAAACCGTGTTAATTGTTTACCTTGCATGTGTCATCACTATGGCATCCTGGCAGCACGGTCTCCTCTGTACTGGCCTGGTAAACTTTGACCCCACCTAGGGGATCCCCAGTGGTCAGATGACTGTGGTCCAGACGAATGTCCTGCAGACAGCCCTTGAAATTTCCTCCCCAGGCATTCATACTATTGCCTGCAGGAAGTCCTCCCACATACGCCACGTCCCCTGCCTCTATACTAACGTTTCCCAATGCACGATGATTTCCTGCTTTGGGGAAAACCACATGGCCGTACTGGACCTTTAAAGTCACCAAATTATTGTTGCCATCAGTGACACTCCTTGCCTCCGACAGCAGTGTGGTGTGAGGGCTGTAAATAGCAACAGTACCCTCCTTCAGATAGACTGTCAGGTAGGGCTTTCCTTCTCTATGGAGCTGCAGAAGCAGACCATTGTGTTTGAAGGAGCGCATTAAAAAGGAGATTGTGAAGTTGTCGCCATGGGTTTGCGTGATGTTGAAGCCGACGTAACTGGTGGAGGTGTTCTCATGACCGAAGGTCCAGGATGGATAACCTGAGGTTTGGGTGAGAGGAACAAGTTTTCAGTATCTAACCAAAACACTCGCTTTATACCAGCAATGTTTTATCTTGGTATTCTTGAAGAAGCACTCAGTTTTACGTTAAATATCAAAGACGGCTTATGATTTTTGTGAGGCTATGGAGAAACATTTTTAGGACACTTTGGACAAGAACACCCAATTGTTAAGTTCGGAAGAAGTACATTTTCCAGTGAGGTCATTGGTTGAGTTGCATCATAAAAAGTGTATGATCCAGTCTCTTTGGCGTGTAAACCAAAACCAGGGGATTATTTTTGTTCTGAACTGATATGATTTTTCTTATTGAAAAGCACTTTGATTGAGCATGCTCCATTTTTCCTCCTTTCCCCAAACTTTACGGCAATGCAATAGTAGTTTACTAGACTACTTCTCATCAGGTAAATTGGCCTAATAGCAGTGCCAAAAATCAATAAGAACGTTCTCTATTACACAGTGGGGGAGATAAAGAAGCTAGGTCTTTGATATAGACAGCTTTGCCTAGACCAAGAGTTTGTTAACTAATTGTTTAAACTAATTCAGTTTATATTTCATTCATATCTTTTGAAGTGTCATACCCTCACTTAAAAACCGGACCTTTACTTTGAGTGGGATACCAAAGAATCACACTTGCAAAAAGATTCCTACAGTTCCTCATACACTTTGTTCTAGAGACCCCCACGGTGAACGCTAGCCATAGATTCCTCTCTCCCATGGAAGATTGATATGTTTTAAAGTCAAATTTAGTACCCTCAACCTATGACAAACGCTTTGAGCACTCTCACCTTTCTCACAGCTTTCTCCATAATAGGGCCGATTACACTCGCAGCTGGGATGAACCCACATGTCCACACACTGCCCACGTTGCATGCATGGGTCATCTTTACACCAATCTTTTTTAAGGCATCCTAGTTCCAAGCCATGATTCTCCTCTCTGATGAGGTCCTGAGGCAGAAGCAGCTTATGGTCAACTTGAAGGTCTTCCATGCAGCCAATGAACCCCCTTCCGCTGGATGTTTTGGCTAAATATTCCTGTGGTGCTCCTCCAACATACAGCTGTTGAAAGGAGCTTGGCTGAAGGAAGATAAGATGATTGTAGCTTTCATTTTTCACCAAGCAGTTTTCCTCACAGCCAGGTCCTTTTACAACCAGAACCAGCCTCTCATCCATGGTCACAGTGGCCGTGTACCATTCACCATCATTGACTAGGCCATGGTAAATTACCTGCAGTACCGTCTCTGATTTCACCCTAGCCCGAAGGGACCCTCCAACTAGTTCCAGGGAGATGAAGCGGTCCTTGGTTCCCCGGTAGTACAGAACCATATCTTTAAGAGTGCTCTTGAATCTGAGGTGCATGTGGAGTTTGTAACTGGCTTGGTCCTTAGTTTCTTGATTCGTCCGGTTTTTGGAAAAAGGCAGCTGCAAGTGGACGTAGCCCTTGGAATTGAAGGAAAAGATGGTGGAGGTATTGCAGCGTTCTCCGGCCCAGCCAGGAGGACAAAGGCAGGTGTAGGTGTGCTCTCCATCATCGGTCAGCAGGGGGACACAACCTGCTTCGTGTTGACACTGGTGCTGGCGGCAGCCAACCAGACTGAAGTCACAGTCTTGACCACCCCAAGGCTCCTGGCCAGGCTCTGGTTCGGGGCAATGACACTTATAGGAGTTGGCAGCATCTTCACAAATAGCGCCATTCTTGCAAGGATTACTGTCACACTCGTTGATGTCCACTTCACAGTGTACACCTGCATGGAGAAACCCACTTTTAGTGCTACCAGTTACTCCAACACCACAACAACTCCTAAACTACCAATGTCTCACATTTGAAGACATTTTTATTATTAATTTAACCACATGAATGTGGTTGAATCAGGGGGAAAGTTAAACAGTACATTCAATTTTAAAATTAGTTAGACAGTTTAGCATGCATGCATACAGATGAACAGGTAGATAGGTTTCAATGGTGTCATCACTGAATGAAACAAACAAAAATTGCACAATTAGGATAGGAAAGAGATGAATAACATTTGCATATATTTCCCTATAACAAATAAACCAGTGTCCTTCCTACTGATTGCATCAGCTAGATATTAAAATAATACACTGCATTGCAGAATAACTTGCTACACATACACAGACACACACACACACACATCTTCACAGCTACACCATGTGTCAGATTTACAGTCTACCTGCCTGGTTTAAGCTTTTACAGCCACTCATCAAACTGCATTCAACAATAAGCCTTGGCAGCAGCAGTCAACTTGCATTAACACAGTCCCTTAAAATACTCTACACTCAAGGAACCCTTGAGCTGTCTGTCCTCTCTGTGCCAGGACTACACCCTGATACGCAAGCATGCAACTTTTTTGTTAATGTAGCATTAAAGTGCTGTACCATACTGTACCTGTCAGCCCCCAGAGCCCACAGCGGCAGTAGCAGAGCAGCAGCAGCATCAACCTGCTTCCCCCCATGATCCACTGATTTAACCACCAACACACTCCTCACACTGCTGGATGACAGAAATAACACAACCAGCCTCTCTCTCCCTCTCTTTTGCTTACAAAGCAGAAGTGCGTCCACTCCCCCACCCTGTACTTGGTAGACAGGCAGAAGTGATTACAAAGCAGCCCTGGCCACCTTTTCTTTCTTCCCTCTCTTTCTCCCTCCTCTGTTCCTCCCTGAATCCCTCCCTCACACCGACTGCTCCTCTCTTTTCTGCAGCCCAGCCCGGGCAGAGCACTAAGCCTCCAGCTGGCTCCTGTCAGTGTTTGACAAGAGGAATGCAGTGTCTCATCCCCTCCCTGCCTCATGTGCTGGCCTGTGGATGCCTACTAGTGTCCAGAGTTGCTAGAATTAACCTGCAGGAGGTGCTGCAGGACCAATGTTTCAGGCATTATTGTTTGCATTGTTAGTCTCATCCACCATTGCCCCTGATTTGATCACCTATACAGATCTAGTTCTCTAGTTGCTCTAGTTTTAGTGACTAAGAAAGTAGAAAGGGTTAGTGCCAATGAAAAAAATAAATCTTCAAATATGGGAGGTAAAAAACTGAAAAACTGAAACTTGGTTGACAATGTTCAACAAACTCAAGGATTAAAGCGATGAATTTAATTGTGAATTGTCAGTCAAACATCAAGGGTCAGTCTATAGAGACTTGGATGTAGTTTTATTTAAAAGCCCTATTTTTAGTGTATATTCACTTTGACAAAAGAGGCTACGAGTCTAACTAGTCTTACATGTCTTGCACATGTAAGACTCGCACATGTGCTGTATAAAGTAATTGAATTGTGCTTTTGAACTACATGGAGTTGTCCTATTTGCTTGCTGTTCAGGGCTTGACATTGGCACCCTCCCACCCGCCAAATGCAAGTAGATTTCGTCTGTGGCGGCGGATAAAGCACTCACTCTTACTAGCTACTTTGGCGGGTGCAATTCTGTTTTTGGGATGGTTTTGTATTTAAGATAGTAAGTCCCTCCAGTGTTGCCGTAGAGACAAAAGGGTGATTTGAGGGGTGAAGGCAGTTATTAATGTGTCATGAGCGTATCATCCACGGGCCCAGAACGCTTGGTCACACCGGTGGTTCGTGTAAACCGACTACAGACCGCGACGACGTGAGTGCGCATTTCCTTAGCTTAGCTGTCTGAGTTTAGCTAGCAGGCTGAATTCACTTCAGAGAGTTAATCGCCGCTGGTTTTAGATGTACTTGGAGACTAAGACTAGTTTAACAACTCAGGGCTGTTCGGCAGAGGGTCGTCCAGCAGAGATGTCCATGTGGACCTGCCTGCTCCGTTTTCTAAAATAATAAACTCATTGCAGGGTTCTCAAGCCTCACGCGTTGACCGTGAAACACACGCATCTCAACCAATTCACACGCCACGTTTTGAGTTGTCCTGCAAACGTTGTTAGCTCGTTACTAAGCACTGTGACTAAACGGACAAACACAATAAAGTACTCCTGCACATATGCAATGAGCAACTCTTTTTGTCTTTTTCTAAATCCATTGCATGTGTTTTCATACAAAAGGAGCTTTACACACTTGGTAAAGTCAACTTTAATCAAACTATTCTATTATACTATTAACTATAAGCAATTTCCCAACAACAAAAATTGTTGTTGAATGAAATCGCTGAGTGGCTAGTAACTTTGGAAAACCACTAGCCATAGTGACTAGCCACAAAAATGTCGCACAAAAAATGTAGTGCATATAATTTGGAAATAGACCCTTGTTTTGCTCACAAGGCTTTTCATCGTCTTTTTTCACCAGGCTTTAATTAGGCTCCTAAGCAGCTTTTCTGTAATCTCCCCTCCCCCTGACAAATATCATAGGAGACCCCTGTTTAATTACCCACGGTGGACGCCTGACATATGGCACCTTTTATTGGCTTTGTTGTTTTCTGCTCCTCCATACCATATGCCCTCTCTGCCCTTCCTATCCTCGGGTCTGTTGTGGCCTCCAGATCGCAGGATACGGTTAACAGATTAAATTAGCCTCTCGCTTTGTTGACGAGTGCGTCTGGCTGAATTCCTCACTTCTAAAACCAGATTTTCCATTTCAAGGTAAACTTTTGGTGCTGTTCTTCCTCTTTTGAGGGATTCGGAGGCAAATCTCCTCTAATGAGGAATTAATACCTTGGCTGGACATGAGGAATGATCAGCAGGAGGAAGATTAACCCTTTATTGTTTGACCCAGGAGAGCTTGAGACTTGGTATGAAGGTTGTCGGCTTACACCGTCTACTGGTGACATTCAGTCTAGTTCTCCACACGTCCACAAACAAAACAAAACAAACCAAAAGTATTATGACCAACTTTTATCATGTGATTACTGTAAGATAGAGATGTGTTTCGGTGTCCAATCTGATTTATACAATCTTGTCGTATAACACAAAATAAGACGTCATGTAACGAACAGAATTAGAGTAATCCAACAAAATTAAGTAAGATGTGTGTGTGAGGGAGGGATATCCTAATTTGAATGGTATAATATATTCAATTCAATTCAATTTACCAGCTTTCTGAGGCTTGTTGACTTCCTTTGTACAGGAGTTCAGGAGAGAACAAAACATCTACAGCCTCAATAAGAAGCAACCGTTTTTAGAATTCTTAATTAGCGTTTTCAGTTAGTTTTACCCTTTTCCTTTTCTACTGAAAAAAATGTATTCTTTCGAATTATCGTGGTTCAATTTCACCGAAACACCAGAGTCCACTTTGTGGTCAAATCAGTGTCATGGACAAATATAATAATAAATGAATCAATACATGCTAGTAGTTTATAGTAATAGTTTTAGATTTGAATTTAATAGAAATCCACAAATGTGTGTATTTAAAGGGAGATGCTATCCCTAACCCTGCAGCACATTTAATTTAATGCGTTTAATAATCATGGATGTTGCAACATGTTCGTGATTCCTTCTGTGTGCATTCATTCATTATGATATGACCTCTGATATACTTTAACAATCCTGAGGCTTTATTTTGGCCTCTGCTCTGAAAATGGCATACCCATGATAACAAGTGTAATAACCCTGTAACTACGTGGTATATCTGGCCATGATTTTCTGTCAGGATAAAGAGGAACCCTTTTGAGTGTTCTGATTTGTAAAAATCAGTTGATATGATACTGGTGAAGAAATGTATTAATATCACACAAAATTTCAAGAATAGCCTCAAGAACATCAATAACAGTCCAAAATCCCTATAAAACATGGTAATACCAGGCTAAAACCACATTTAAGTGCCCAGTGTGTGGACAGTAAACATGGGAAGTTTCACGTTTCCACTTTTTTCGATCGTCTGTTCCTATTGGATCCGACTAACAACATGCGGAAAAGAGCAACAACTCCCATTGCCACTCAGAACCCATAATGGTTAGAGTGTAAAGTGATGCTCTGCGCGAAAGGCGCTGACATTGCTTGTGAGGCACATACAATGGCCTCTGCATTATCTCCCTCAAGAAAAAAAAGATGAATTTCATAATAATAAGCACCGCTGTGTGAAAATGATTTGCACAACAAGTTGTTGAAGTTGTGTTTCAGCATTTTCAAAGAGATAAGTGGAGATTGTATCTAAGACACTATTATTTCGAACGGTGTGAATTTGTTTACTTATCAGTACTAAATATTCTTGTTGTATATGGTTTGTTATGGCTCGGTTATGGCTCAGTTCCGGACCAAATTTCAGAGATGATTGTCCAGAAAAGGTTTTGAAGAGAAGGAAAACTCCTTGCACACAAATGTCCAAACCGAGGTTGTGACATTTGTGGAAAAAACAGCCCCCCACACCCGCCCTTTCTGGCATCTCAGTAGGTAGATTCACTTACAAAGTTAGGGATTTTATTGATAAGAAAAATGATATGTCAATATCAAACCTCCCCTTTTTATGTAAACTGATTTTGACTTCTTGGACGTAAATAACTGTTTTGATGTCTTCCAGTCAGGCTTTCAACAGCACTACAGTCTGCTCTTGTTAATGTTTTTAATGACATCCACTTAGACAATGACAGTGACAGTGACAGTATCATAGTCTTAGAGTTACTTGATCTCTCTGCATTGGAAACAGTTGTCCATGATATTGGTCAACTGGTTGGAAATTCTGGAAAGACTAGAAATCTGGGTGGGACGGTCTAGCACAGCACTAAACGGGTTTGAATCCTACTTGAAGGACCAAGAATACCACTGCCTCAGATTATGAAGGAAAAAAAGTATGCATACAACACACAAATATGCATAACTATATCGCCAGGGGAATATAAACCCATAAAAGGGTCGGGTAAATGCATTGAATAAATGAACAAGGATGTGCCAGAATTATTTTTCTATTAAAAAAGATAAAACAAAAGGAATTGTTTTTGAGGACAAGGACGAACACCTGAAAGTCAGCGCTTAGCTTCAATCGCTGATGTTAAAAACCCCAAACCAAGCCAGAGATCTAGGTGTAATTATGGATTCAGACCTCAATAGGAACAGCCGTATAAAGACAATTACAAAATCAGCTATTACCACCTGAATAATATATCAAGAATTGACTTACAGTATGTCGCAACAGGATTTGGACCAACATGTCCCTGCATTCATCTTCAGTAGACTGGACTATTGTCTAATGGTGTGTTCACACGTCTGCAAAAAGTGAGTAATCAGAATGCTACAGCTTGAGTCCTCACTAAGAGCAAGAATTTGGATCACCTCACTCCACTTCTGAGGTCTTTACGTTGGTTTCCTGTCCAAAAAAGACTTGACTTTAAAATCCTGCTGTTCTTTTATAAAGCCCTGAATGCTTTAGGGCCAAAATACATGTCTGCTGCTACCTTACAAACTATCCCAATCCCACCAGGTAATCTGGGAAGGGTTGCCTACCTGTTCCCAGAGTCAGAACCAAACGAATGGAGAGGAAGCTTCAAATCTTCTCCTCCACACGTCTGGATCAAACTCACAGAAAGCTGCAGCCCTGCTGCGACTCTCATTGGATTCAAATTTAGACTAAGACTTCTCTGTTTGATTTTTCACCTTTTCTTTCCTGCCTTTAATTAAACCAGATTCAAGATTCTTTTTAGATTTTTTTTTCATGAATTGCAATCCAACTTATTCTTGGTTATTGTTTTAATGTCTGTTTTTACTTCATTGTTTGTAAATCTCATTTTCTTTACCTGCTTTTTTAATAGTGTTATCTGAAGCCCTTTGGGTTGCCTTGTGGTTGAAATGGGCTATACAAATAAACTTGCCATGCCTTGCTTTGCCTTGTCAAAGTGCTGTACGTCTGACAGTGTCACAATGTGGAGGGAGGATGAACTGGGACATACACTGCATGGGGGGACTCTGGAGGAAGAGCAGCTCACTTTAGTTCAGGAGATAGAGCAGCCGAGCAGATAAGAGGTTTCACCTACCTGCAAAGCCGTCTGGACACACACATTGATAAGCGCTGACCAGATCCTGACAGGTTCCTCCATGCTGACATGGAGCAGACTCACATTCATCCACATTGACCGAGCAGCTGTCTCCTACCAACGGAACACGTGAATTAGATTCAAACGTCCTAATCAGTTAATAAGGCAAAATATCGGAAATAACAGGGTTTATAACTAGCTTACCAGTGAATCCTGGCAGACAGCGGCAGATGAACCCGGCTGCCTCCTTATAGCTGAAATTGGCGTCTGCAAATTCGGGCAGCATTCTGTAGTTCCGGGTATCTGAGCGTTGGAAACACTCGCCACCATTCTCACAGGGCTGCTCTGCACACTCATCCACATCCAGCTGGCAGTTCTCTCCTTCGTAGCCTGGGCAAACATGAACACAGATGTTTAAAGGATTTGTCAATGCAATACTTGCACCCCCACAGGTACGTTAACTGAAGAAGCTACAGGTGCATATTGTAAGAATCTAAACAAATAAAATCCTACATGAAACTTCCACAGGTGTTAACTAACATGAATACAATTACTTTTAGGTATTACAAGTTCTTTGTTAGATTATATCCTATTACATGTGTACATATGTGAATGCATGACAGAAATGGGAACATTGACACAAGAAGCTAGGTTTTAGATTCAGACAGTTCAACAGTTTTTTAAAGGGGGAGTTTTGGATATGTCCATAAACCAAAACCAAAAACACAGTTTTACTAATAACAGGCTATGAATGATATACAATTAAAAAAATGTCAGAATATAGAAAGGAATGGAAATGGAATTTTTGCCACTGAAATTGAGCACTGTCGCCTCACAGCAAGAAGGTCCTGGGTTCGACTCTGCCCAGTGGCCTTTCTGTGTTGTGTCTGCGTGGGTTCTCTCTGGGTACTCCGGCTTCCTCCCACAGTCCAAAGACATGCACTGGGGATCAGGTTAATTGGTAACTCTAAATTGCCTGTAGGTGTGTGAATGTGAGTGTGAATGGTTGTTTGTCTCTGTGTTAGCCCTGATATTGGCTGGCGACCAAATGAAGTTTGGCTGAGATAGACTCCAGCCCCCCTGTGACCCTGTGTGCAGGATAAGTGGTTTGATAATGGATAGATGGATGGATAGGCAAAAGTGTACAGTGTCACAGTGTCAAATGGCAAACAGATTAGCATTTGTGTAGCACAACTCTAATTTAAAGAACGCAGAAAATAAGTTAGTATTCCTCCATTCAGACATATTCAGACAATGATCTTGGAAGACAACTTAAACACGAGTCTATTGTCTAGCCCGAGTCATTTTCTTTCAATTTGAGTTATGTTGCACTTCTAAGAGAAGGAGACATGGTTTTTCAAAGTTCTTGGTTTCTCAGCAAACAATACATAGGATGTGCATATATTGAATGGGAAGAAGGTTATCCAGTCCCTGCGTTTTCTTTTTGGTGAACATTTCAAAATGCATAATCTTTGATGATTTCACTTCAGTGATCAAGGAGCCCTTGGTAGTTGTTCTACTGAATATCAAGAAATTGTTGACACAGTGATGATGTTTGGTTGGGGGTAACAGGTATACAATACTAACATGACGTACTGTTTAATGAGGTGAGCTATGCTGTACCTGGCCAACATAGGCACTTGTACTCGTTAATCTTCTCCAAGCAGGTAGCTCCATGCTGGCAAGGGTCGGAGGCACATTCAGGAATATCTTCTTCACAGTGGTCGCCCACAAAGCCAGTGCCCTCACAGTCACACTCATAGCTGGAGGAAGGACACATCAAAGCAAAACGAATGTATAGTAAATCAAAATGGTTTGCAAGGATATTTATTTATTACCAGTAGCCCTAAATGGTTAATACAGGTACAAATTAACCACTATTATTTGTTAGGAAACCTTACTTTTTTGTATCATAGGAAGAAGGTGCTAAGTTATTCAGCCAAATGTTACAGTCCTTTTGTGAATATTACTAACTAATAGCATGTTTGGAAACCAGATGTTGTTTCCAAAAGATTTTAAATCGGAAAAACTGCACAGAAATTGTATGCCGACGATTAGCTTGGTGCCATCTAACCACGTCATTATTTTGTCCAAACTTGTACTATGATCTCCTCTTTTCATGCACCATATTACATCAATTGTTATGTAAAATAGAGTCCTCCTCTAATCAGAGGTACTACCAGGTATTCTCAACACCTCTGTCTGTCTAATGACTTATCACCATGGTCGGCAGTAAGTGGATCAATTCTTATCCCAGACATTAAGTCTGCCATGCAGCCTCCGTAGAACGACATAGAGCCCTAACATAAACCAACATGCAAGAGACACAATCACATACCACCTTCAGTCCAACTTCATGTATGATTGAAACCGTAAAAGCATTGATCATTTCATTAGATTCAACCAAAATCTGATTAAATACATCATTTTATAATGTAGTTTACTGAAACATGAAGATAAAAATTAATGAAAGCTTCATTTAGAAAACATAAGCTTGACTTTGAGCCAAATCATTAATGGAGACCCTGTCAAGTTGTATCTGCTCTGGATTGTAGTTTTTTTCTGAGACAGCGCTTTGTGTTGCTGTATCTTTAATTTAATTTTGCTGTTAACCACTTTTGCATTTTAAGCAGATACTACACAACAGGGTTTTGTACTAACAGCAGAATAAAACCAGTACCAACACCTTTTCTGAATACATAAGCTATAAACATTTTTAACCTACAGATTAATTGTGGAATAGCATTTTTTTCACAAAATAAGCGATTGCAGATCACTGAAGATCAGTGGAGAGCAGCGTCGTGCTCAAATCCAGGCGTCTGCGGTTCGATCCCTAGTGGAGGCTAGTGGGATCATCCCTGGCACCACTGGACAATGCCATTGTCTCCTTGGGATACACTTAAACCCAAATTGCTGATTATGAATGATTCTTTAGAGGCCTGATAGGCAGATGACCTCACGCCAGCTGACAAGTATTTCAACCTCAACCGTATGGGTGTTCATCTTGTTACCTAAAAAACCCTTTGTCTGACCTCAAAGATAACCAAATTCAGATTCCACTTACATGTACTACGGCTTATGTGTATGTATAAGTCATCAACCACATGGTTATCAAACATTTTTGATATTGAATTATCAATTAAAATACCCCAAATCATTCTAACTATACATGTTCAGTCAGTGAAAAGTGTATGTGCGGGATCCTACCTGTTTACCAGGTCAATGCACTGGCCCTGATTTAAACAGGGAATGCTAGCACATTCATCAATGTTGACCTCGCAGTTTTGGCTCTGGAAGCCGGCCATGCACTCACACGTGTATGTGGCGACGTGGTCTCGGCAGGTGGCACCGTTCTGGCAGGGATGCACCTCGCACTCATCGATCTCCACCTGGCAGTTAATCCCTGCAGGGTACAAAGCGGGGATGGCAGCAGGCCAAGGACTGAGATTGGCAACGTACTTAATTACCTTAGCGCATACAGATACCACACAATGACACTGCAGCTCCATATGGAGAACAGCAACGCAGACTAATGCCACTTAAACAGAGCCATGCAACTTCTGTTCATACAGTCTCTGGTATAAATGCCCACCCCATCTTGCTCTCTATTCAAAGATTATATCTACACCAAAAATACTATGCAGGTTTACTTTGAAAAATGATCAAATAATAATTTAATATTCAGGGTGAAAACAGGTTGAAAAATAGAAGCCAAAATGTGAAAGTTAAGCACGAGCTTTATCCTGTGTTGCAATAATTAAATCACATTCAGTATTCTTAAGTAGGTAGCACATAGAATACTAATGCCAGTCAATGATAAGCTCTGCTGATGTTAGCTACACATGATTTCAGGTAGAAAATAAACGTTTTAATCTCATATATCTCCTTCCAACCTCTCTGAGTAACGAGTATGACTGTCACTTAACGTTTGAGCGTCAGATTTACCAAACCAGCCTGAACATGACATCTGAATACATTCAACATTCATTCATTCATTGATGAAAAGGCATTCATTCATATTTAAATGTCAGCTCATTATCAGGAATCTCTGATCCAATATAATGAATTCATCATATAAATACCTGTGCCAATATTAACATTGATTTACCTTTGAAGCCTGGAGCGCAGTCACACCTGTAGTGATCCACCTCATCCTGACATGTGCCATTGTTTTGACAGGGTCGGGAGGCACACTCATTGATGTCCAGGTCGCAGTGGTAGCCTTGAAATCCAGGCACGCAGAAACACTGGTAGGCATTAACCCGGTCTTTGCAGATGGCTCCATTCTGACAGGGCTCAGACTGGCATTCATCAATGTTTTCCTCACAGTTCCTCCCTTGGTACCCAGCAGCACACTGGCAGCCATGCCCAATGTCAGGGACGTCCATACAGGTGCCAGCATTCTGGCATGATGTTTCTGAACAAGTGGTGACATTATTCTGACAGTCCTCCCCTCCCAGTCCCAGAGGGCAGTGGCAGGAATAGCCATTGACTCCGTTGACACAATTGGACCGGATACCTTTGCAGGGGTTGCTCTTACATTCATCGACATCCTGAGTACAGTTGAGCCCTGTGAAGCCGTCCGGGCACTGGCAGGTGAACTCGTTTGTGCCAGGCGTGCTGGTACAATTGGTGCAAGGTGCCTCGATACAGGCGTCATACAGCTCATCACAGTTTTTGCCGATGTACCTCACTGGTCCTGGGGGGCAGATGCACACGTATTCACCCAGGTGGTCAAGACATGTGGCGCTATTGTAGCAGGGAGATGACAAACACGAGTCTGCTGCCACTGTGCACAGTAGCCCTGGAATGAAGGAGACAAAATGGCCATTAAGGCAACAATTTTCTGTAAAAAAATCTGCATTTATAACACGCCTAATTTCTAGACAGGGATTGAGAGAGGTAGTACCCATAAAATGTTTTGATATTGCATATTTATCTTTGTCCATTCCAAATGATATTCCTGTTAAAGGAGGAATTTAACAAACACATACAGTTACTTTTCTCATTGCGGTTCTCTTTTGCCTCCCTTCTCCCTGCACTGGCATGCAGAGCTGAACTCTGTCAGAACCATGCCCTTTAACCTGCACTGGCTGTAATCTGAAAGCTGACGGAGACAGTGAGGGTCTCCTCACTTTTCACCCCTCCTTCCAAATGCAATCAACCCTTCACACATTCCAGAGAGCTGATAACAGCTCCTCCTAACCCCTCCCCCCTTTGCTGAGTACTTCATAGATCATGGTTATGGCCAGACGGGGTTGATTCCTGGCACTGAGTGGTACCAGCCTCTCAGTCAAACAATAACGCTGAGCAGAGCCAGGATCAACTGCTCACCACAGCCCTCACTGAGTCAGTGGGGTGGTGGTTCAACATTGCTTCCCTGACATGTATTTACAGCTTTTGAAAAATCTAACTCTAAAGTTGGTCTTCGAACCAATTGAAAAGCAGGAAAAACCACACTACTGGTTGCAGGCCTGGCTGCACTCTCTCTGGTGTCCATCACCGGCGACTCATCTGATCCTATAGAAGACGCTAGAACTTCTTTGTTCTATCTGGGGGTCGCCCATGATTCCATCCAACCACCAAACATTTCAGACTGTTCAAGTTAATTATAACATTTTGGTCAACTAATATCAGTTCAGATGATATCTCAGGCATATGTATACATATATGCATGCTGTCTTTTCAGAATATTCTTCTTCCCAAGAAGCAACTTAGTTAAATGCAACAAAACTACTTGATGATCAATGTTAGGGTGGAAACAACTACAGGTACTGTGTTGGCAAAATGTGAGGTATCGGAAAAAAGCCTGCACTGCAAGTTTCTCCACCTGAGTGGAACTCATTCCTCCAGCTTAGCTTGTCTTAACCCTTGGATCAATTCTACATTGATACAACTGATTATGGAAATCTTAAAGATCCACGTCTTTGGTGGAAACATTGGCTTTGGGCTCAGAGAAACAGACAGGAACGAGATGTAAAAGAGTATTAACAAGGAAACAAACTTTGTTGACATAAACAAAATTATAGAATAACTTCATAATTATCTCTCAAATACTTGAAAACAACTATGTATAGCCCTGAACAACATGAACAAAACAATTAAACCTCCACTTTTACAGGAAATTGAGTTATGACAATAGGAATTTGTTACGCTGAAATAAGACATGTTTCTGTATATTTTAAGAACCTCTGCATGTCTTAAACAAAGCTGATTCTATTGAGATTACATTCATTTCACTCCCGCAGGACAGAAAAACAGAAAGACGCAGGGATGCAGGGCGGAGTAGGCGGGAACGCGATGTGTCACAGAGCGGGAAGTCCCAAGAGGAATTTTATTGAATCACCACAAGAGACGAGCAGCTCTACCTCAGTTCATCTTTGTGCTCCAAAGACGTCACAGCAGGTGGCCGCTTTGCTCCATACAAAGAAAATGCACAAATCCTCTGTGAATCAGTCACAGTTACACAGCGAGTCAGAGACGCACATGCTTTTTTCTCCTGAGACTTCCTTTACAACACAAGGTTTCTGGCTAGTTAGAGAGCAAATCTGTTTAGTTTGGTTTCTTTTTTAGCCAGTGGATCATCAATGATCCTATCACTGTGTGTTCATTCTGGTATGAAGAGATTAAAAGTATTTCTAAGAAGTTAGTTACTAGCTGGATCCTGCCAGGGATGTTGATGTATTATTTTTGCATACATGTAGAATTTGTATCTTTATGCAGCACTATTTCCTAACTGTCATCGGATCAAATCCTATGAATAAATAAAGAAAGAAAAATAAAAGTCAAGAGGGCAGTTGTGTCCTCTGTGTGTATCATCAGGAGATGGCAGCCCTCTGCATTTTTGGGACATTGTCTCTGCTCCTGCTTCCCTTTTTGAGCTGCTCACTCTTAGTTAATTGGTGTAAATAGTATATCTGCTGATCTGTTCTTTTCTTTAACGATAAGTCTGTAGTCTTACATGAAAAAGCCTTGCATCTTACGCTCCTGTTAACCTCATTTTCACCATCACATGTACTCTGAGTGTTTCGGCTGCTGTCTTTTGCTTTAAATCCCTAGGAGCTCAGAGTGCCAAGACTCTCGCCGTGCCCCTTAATACCCATCACTCCTACCATTCAGAGCCGAGACAAAAAAGCTGTGTAGCAGTGCAGCCGGACGCTCAGCTCGTTACCATGGTGATCTTCAACAATGACACCCTCAGCCAATCCCAGCTGCTGCTTCACCACCGTTAAAAAACGAGCTGCAGACGCTTCACACAAACGAAGGTCGCGGGAAAAATGGGTCAACAGGGTTTCATAAGGTTGTGGGGTCGACCCACAACTTTACCCAGCCCCCCACACACACACACACACACACACTCACACACTGAGACACACCCCAGTACAAACTGATTCATTACACAAAAGAGGGGGTAGTAAGGAAACTAGTAAGAGCCTCTGAAATTACAAATCGGGAAGTTGTGATTGGTGGTATTTCTAAAAAATGAATCACTAAACACTTGCTGTCATAATCAAACTATAGAGTTACAAATTATTATTTTTAAGATATTGTTGAAAATTGTATTTATTACAGTTAACAGTAACTTTTGATGCTATTATTTAATGCCATGTAATGCTGAAAGACCGACCAGGTAGATCAATTCAATACATATTTTTGTTATTATTATTATAAATGAAGTATACATTATTCATAAAATGATTTGTTCCATTAACTTTGTTTAAGAATAAACAAAGTTTAAGAAAAAAGAATCCTAAAAACGGTTTAACAAACCATCTTTTAGTTCTCCACGATGTTCCTAAACACACATATAAATACATGGACCTGCATGTGCACGCACACTGTGCACTTCACACAATTAGGCATAGAGTCTCATCTGTGGATGGAATTTTAAATAGTTTAAAGTTCCTACTCAGATGTTTCCATGTGTATATTAAGATGTTTCTGTTGCTGCTGTAGTATCTGAGCACACATGTGCAAGCCTTACCCAGTTTGAACATCATCATGGTGATCAGCACCGTCCTCTGATATCTGGACCAAGCTCTTCCTAACTCCATGGTAAAACAGGATGCTGAGGTTTCAGCCAGTGGAGAGCAATGGTGTTAGTTCACAGGTTGTCCATCCAGACCACTGAAGCGCTTCGTCCAAGCTGCTCCAACTTAGGTGCAGAGAGAGAACTCCAGCGCCCTGACCACAAGGATTCTGGGTTTGAGTGTGTGTGAATGTGTGTTTTGGAGTGTGTCTGAGTCTCTGTGGAGACCAAGCTGGGCTGGAGGGAAGCAGAGTAATCGCCCCAGTGGAGAGGGAGGGGAGGAAGACAAGACCTGGAGTTCTGGACTGGACTCAACACTGGCTCACTTGTTAGGTCTATCTAATATAATACGCTTGAGAATGCTAACTGACACTATTTATATATTTGGATTTATTTTTGTGCATTTACCGTTTACCAATCAATCAAGCGATGCTTGTCATGATCACGTCCCAAAAAGTGAACGGCACAATGTCATAATAAAACAAAACAAATGTCTAAATACTTTTTGCAGTTACATTCTAAGATACAGAGCAAAACTCGTTGGCATCAATATATTATTTAACTCAGTTTGGCGGGACATGGTCTGGAGGTCAGCAAGGTCGCCTCACAGCAAGGAGGTCCTGGGTTTGGAGCGGCCTTTCTGTGTGGAGTTCCCATGTTCTCCCCGTGTGTGTGGGGGGGTTCCCTCCGTGTGCTGCAGCTTCCTACCACAGGCCAAAGACATGCTCTGAGGGTTAATTGATAATTGTGACAGGTGATGGTCGTGTGTCTCCATGTCTGCCCGGTGACTGACTGGTAACCAGTCCTGGGTGGTCCCGTCTGCCCAATGTTAGCTCGGATTGACTTGATAAGCGGTATGGAAGATTATCCACAGTAGCAGTTACTATTTTGGATAATTGAAGATTATAAAGAATAGAAATGATAAACAAAGCATTTTCTTTTTCAAATTCAGACATCCGCTACATAATAATTTAGTGGATAAACAATTTTGGAGATAAAATTGGAGATGAATTACAAAATAAATTGAATGAAATAAACTGCTGCCGGCATAAGACTATATACTGGTCAAATATTTCAAGGGTTGCACCACACAGTCAACATTTTTGTTTCATTTTATACCTATTTAATGGATCTGTATATATGTACTATAGCCTGTAAGGAGACACGTTACTCCAACTAGTTCCATGAAAACAATGTAGAGACCAAACGATCCCTCTCAATAATCCCTTTTGACCCGCTAATCAGGAATCAGGAAACATTTATTGCCATAATATGTCAGACATACAAGGAATTTGACTTGGCGGTTGGTGCGTAACAGCAGACAGTACGACAATAGACAACAATAGTGCAAGAGAATCAAATAAAATATCATAAAAATGTAATATTATGGTTAGTAATACAAGACTATGGGTTAAATAAAGGAATACAAGTTGAAAAATGAAAAAAATGAAAGGAGTTAAAGTTAAAAAAGAAGGTGCACCAGCGAACAGAAAGATACAAGTGAAAGTGACGCGTGCAGTGGTAAGAAAGGGACCGGTGGAATGTCTGAGTCAGTCAGTGGGGGACCGGGCTCTGTTGATGAGCCTGACTACCGAAGAAAGTGTGAGGTCTTGGCCAGCTACTTTCTGTGTGGATGTGATAATTTGAACTCCAACGAACAAGTATAATTTTATTATCATTATGGGCCACTAGATGGATTTGACTGAGGTGTTTTCGTTATCGAAGGGAAATTGCTGGGGATATTACACAAATAACACGTTAGCAAACTCGTATGAGCTGTGTGCAGGTACTCTAGTTTTACACTTTCAAGGGCTGTTGGCGAATCAATGAGTTGTTGCTCCCCACTTCACTCAGTTTCCACCCCCACCTCTAGGAGCACCTTTCTGGTTGGTGGAGGCCACTATGGCAGGTTGACAAATGACTCACTCACCCCCACTCCACCTCCAACTCCTACACGCACTCCCACCCCCAACTGCATCCCCAAGGCCCCCGATGCCAGCGTCAGGCTTAACTCCTAACTGCTGCGTTCACAACAACAAAAAAGTTTGATTAAACACTCAGCGAGGAGTCAGGGCGGGAGGGCAGGTGGCCTCCAACAAGCGACATTCAATTGTGCAAAGTAGTGAGTCACAGCAGCTCCACAGCTCCACATTCCTCAGTCACCGACTGCTCGGCATTAAAGCAGCAACACAATAGTGGAAAAGACAGCAGGCTGACATGGAGCCTCAGCTCTTCTCTGTTGTCTCTACCAGACGTCAAGGAAGAGTCAGTTACAAATAATGCCTCAATTTATCTCACTGTAGATTTGTGACTCGCTCTATTTATCGTTCTTATGACACAACATGTAGACATTATTGTAAATAGGCTAGTAGTAGCCTCCACCGCTAGATCTTTAACCTTACTGCTAGCAAGCTACTCTACAAGCGTGTTTTCTGCTGGCAATGGATTTGACAATTCTCTTCTGTATTCCTTCATGTTGCAATATATAAATTGCGGTAATTCAATTCAATTGATTTTATTTTGTATAGCCCAATATCGCAAATTACAAATTTGCCTCAGAGGGCTTTACAGTCTGTAAACATGCGACATCCTCTGCCCCCCCTTACATCAAACAAACAATGCACTAACCATTTTGTCTCAGGTTATGATTGCTGAAATGACATAAGAACACAATTATAAATGGGAAAAACTCCCCAAAAAATGAAAAACCCTTCCATTGGGAAAAAAGGGAAGAAACCTCAGGGAGAAGGTCAGAGGAGGATCCCTCTCCCCGGATGGACAGACTACAATAGATGTGTACAGAATGAACAAACAGTTACGGTAACAGTTGATACTTTACAATGAAGCGGCTGCGTTTCTACTAAGATGCCTTTTGTTGTGTCCAGGCAGACAATTTGATGACTTTTTGAGCGGTTTTGTTGGATGTCTTCAGGAAGGAGAACTACACCTTCAAATTATGCAAAAACAACCTTTGCTCTAAACCCAGAAACACCCAGCAGTGCCTGTTCAGAGCCACAATTGGGCTTAAGTTGCTGGGAACCGTTCACTTCTAATGTCAGAATGTCCAGCATGCAGCGCCATTGTTTGTTTATAAGTACAACTGTAATAGTATAATAAGTTTGTTACTATTCTACTCATTCTTTCTCGCTCTCTTTCTAACACGCAATCATGCTACACTTAGTCCTTCTTTGTTTTCGTCTCGGTCCAAAAGTTTCAAAGTCATAATGAAGACAAACATGCTTGTGTTTTTTGTACAAAATATTGTGTGTAAATCCACAATTGTTTGCGTTTAGCCTTCTTAAAAATGATCTTCTGCCAAAAGGAGTTTGCTGTCCAGCTGACTGGCCGGCACACACTGTTCGGTACATTTATCCCTTTCGCAGACGACTCAAATACTACTTTAAAATCTTTGGATTGGTAAGAAATACACTGTGACATAGGTGCGCTGAAGGTTTGTTTGGATGGGCTCAGAGTTCACCTGGAGAAGAAACACTCAGCATTATTTTATCAACTTTAACCAATTGATTCATTATACAATCAATAATTGTCTCACTCCCACTGGAAGAAAACAAGGATACTCTAATGATCTACAAGGGTCAAGAGTGCATGTTCTTAGACAGCAACCCTTCCCCTTCCTCCAGGGTGCCACGCCGATCTGTGGCCCCACAGCAGGTGATCTGAGTGGCCAAACAAACATGCTGACAATATAAATACAGTCACAGTCAATCAACTTCACACCTGGAAAATAGCAGGTAACAGGATGCCAACATTGTCTCCGCTTTTGCACCTGCACTGTATGGTAATACGGCGAGATTTATGGAGCGCAACAGATGAACCACATCACAGACATCTAAACAGACGTACCAACTGTTACATCCTCAATTTAGTTGAGAAACTTTAACTGAGGCCCAGTTTTGCGTTCCATAAACTACCAACAGTAAACGTTGCTTTCTTTCGATGGTCATGATTTTTCACTTTTTTTTAGCATTTATACGGACAAAAATATAGAGGAGGTGATGGTTAACAGATTTACAGGACTCAACTGAATCTCCAACCTCTTTTTCCTCCGTGCCACAGAGTTAAAACCATTTAAACACATCAGCGATGCTTCTAATGAATCTTAAACAAGACTGGTGTCGTTTGGAACTGGTTGCCAGGTAGAGAAAGACACGTTGTTGGCTTTGGTCTTCCTGTGTGCTTTGTTGAACTCAGCAAAAAGATTAATAACAGTAAAGTTATATAAACGCCTTATCATTGACGCATCTTAAATTTCCTTTTTGGTTAAAGGTATAACATCACATCATAACACATTGGTGTGGGGCTTAGACATGCACAATCTAAAATCATCACAGTTAAGTACAAATAAATAACACGTTATGTTGTGTTGGTCCCTCTGGTGGGACGCACATACACAACAGACACTGTTGGTGGTATTTTTTACAAGCGGTGGGAAGAGCAACAGCAGTTTGCTAATGGGCTGCAAATGCTAATTCCGCTATTGAAAGGTAACAGAGCTTTATGACAGTCAGTCATTGCCCACTGAGGTGCCCCCCTTAACTACTGACCACGGCAGTGTGCTAAGTAACACGATGCACCATTAAAGCACCTGGAGTAGAAGGTTAATAGTTCTTTCAAAGAGAGTATGTAACAATGTAATGGCGGCCATTTAAGAGACCTTGCAGCTTCACACTTTGCCTTGAGGGACTGAGATGTTCAGAACTCATGGGCTTCGTTGTAAAGTTGCCGCTCTCTCTCACAAGGGTGCACACACACACACACACACACACACACAGTTCCTTCGCTTGCACATCTTAACATCCATTCCTGTCCGACCCTACACAACAATGACATCTCAAAAGGGCTCCAATTGCCTTATGACCCTTAACTTCACCCCCTCACTCCCCCTCTTCTGAAATCTGCCAACAAAGAATGCTGCTGGAGCTCAGATGGGGAGGCATTGAAACATCTAATCCTTCACGTTTGCATGTCCACAACCGCTGTGTACTAAACTATAAGTGGAAGCGAAATGACGATGCAACGGTATTCAAACATCATCCATGCGCTGAGGCAGAGTGCTAATGAGGACCGGGGTTGTGGAATTTAAAAGACAATTATCTACAGACAGTCATCTACAGACCTTTACACACCTTTTTCCATAAGGATCCACGTCTGAATAACATGAAGCCTTCAAATATAGATGTTTTATA